GCTGGCTGAGGAATTCTGGGAGTTGAAGTCCATAAGTCTTAAAGTTGCCAAGGTTGGACACCCCTGTCTTAGACAAAAGGTTAACACACAAAACACATAAACAAACGTGACTAGCTTTGATACCCCCATTAGTTACACCATCATGACTTTTTTTTTAAACCACACCTTGCGAACAATCTCCGGGATGTGTATTTATCTCCACTGCCTTGCTGGATTCAGAAACACTGCAAGATCAGTTTTTGTTAAAACGATGAAAGTACAAGCATTTATCATTTGCTTCCCTTGACCTCACCTGCCAATTAAGGTTTAGCCAGACAGGCAGTCCTCTACCTACGACTGTAAAGGGCATGGTGTGATGAGTTAAGCGGGAACACCTTGGTTAACGGCCCCCGCCCCTGCTCTCCCTGATGAGCAGGTTGTTAAGTGGAGCATGGAGTGCCTCAGGAGTGGGAGAGGCCCAGTACAGGACCTGCTGTGGGACTCCCAAGATCTTCCTCACCCCGAGACACCACATGCTCTGCTTGCTGCCCTTCAGAGTCCCCACAGCCCTTGGGCCTGCTTCCCTGCCCCCACCAGGTCCCCACATGCCTTGTACAAAAGTACAAAAAACTATACTTTTCATATGAAATATTGTTATCTAATCTACAGCACCCTCCCTTCTCTCCCTGAAACCAATGGAATATAGTTTCTCCAATAGGCCTTGGGTGATATCCAAGAAGAATCAGGAAGAACTTTGCATTTATCAGGAAAAGATTACCTAGCTGGGGAAAAACAACTGAGCAATCTAATGCTTGGAAGGGGTGGGGCAGAAAACGCAAGGAAAGGCAGATATCAACTGACATTTGCATTCCACTTCTGCAGGATTCCTCTACAAACCAATGCTTTAAACTCTTGCATCTGTAAAAACTCCAGGTACTCAGAAAATAAAAGTAAGGAGCAAATAATATGCCACATTATCTGAGGAAGTCTCATAAATCCAAATATCCATGATTAATTGATAAGAATGACATAAGTACAGTATTTAAGAACCAAGGCCTTGTTTTTTTGCACTAACTGTAACAATTATTCCTTCTGTCCTCTTATATTTCTGTGTTATCCACACAAAAATCTTTTCTTTCCAAGAGCTGGTTCCCACAAATACAGACATATACACATATACACAGCATGCCTCTTTAGTACCCATTTGAAAATGCAGAGATAAATCTAAGTTTAGCTCAATAATCTGAATTTAATCAAACAGGATCATTTGGACAGACTCTTACTACAGGCTTGATTACTGCTAATAATCAGGAGAAATGAATGAGCCCATGACATATCCCAATGTTCCTGAACATATACGTCACATATATTAAAACAGTGCCCCTCAACCTTTTGGGCATCAGGGACCAATTCCATGGAGAGAAGTTTTTCCACAGACCACAAGGGGTATAGTATCGCGTGTTGCTTGCATCCTGCAGGTGGGGTTCGCTTGTTTGCGCGAACCGGTTTTTGGCATGCCACAGACTGTGAACTTGGTGCCAGTCTGTGAACTGGGGGTTGGGGACCCCGTACTAAAAAAACAGAACTGGGCCTTCAGTAAGAATCGGTAGAATGCACCTTATTTCTACATAACTATAAGAGAATGTCTGTAATTTGAGATGATTTGACAAGTTGACTTTTCTGTCACTTAATCTGTTGTTGTACAAGAGCAATCCTTAAGTAAAACTGATATTGATTTTGCAGCATCACAAACAACAAAACAACAGCAACAGTAATAATAATGGTGTTTTCCCATACAGCTTCAAATAGTCCCTGTAAAGGAGGTGGGATAGCCTGGCAGATGTTTTTGATGTTTGATAGCCATGTCCTGAGTTATTCAGTATTGATGACAGAGGAATCAGTGCAATGACAAACCATAGTGGGGAACTGAGTGTCCTTGAAAGATTCTTCTCTTGATGTTAACTACTCCCAGTCTATCATGATTGACCAGCAACCGTGTCCTGCATTGCGCCATCAATCTTTGCATAAACCTTCTAATATTTTTACTGCCTCCGGTTATTTCTAGGCACTTGATTAACCAATCATGTGGCTAGGAGTTAAATGCCTTCCTGTAATTAAGCCATGCTATGTTGAAGTTGGTTTTCCTTCTCTTCCAGTTTTCCAAAATCATTTTGTCAATTAGAAATTGATCTTTTATTCTTCTGCTGTTTGGGCAGGGTTTTGTTTTTTTGCTTTTGGCTCGGGTGGGAAGAGCTTACTTTCAACTAGATGCTGTTGGACTACATCAGCTATCACACCAGTTAATAATATGAAAGTTGTTGGTAAGCAAGTAATTGGCCTGTAGCTGCCCTGTCCTGTCCCTTTTTCTCAATCTTTCATTATTAGGTAGGTTTTGCCAGATGTTAACCACTCTTCAATTTCATCTCCTTGCAGTATGGTTAAACTGCTTGGCAAAAAGTGAGCAAAGGTAATGCCAATGGTGATAGGCATATTGGGTGCAGTCCCAAAATAACTGGAGCACCACTTGAAAACTATCAGTATTGACAAATCACCTTCAGTCAATTGCAAAAGGTGACTTTATACAGAATTGTTTACATCCCATGATGATACCTTCAACACCATCAAACATCCACACCTGCCTAGCCAGATCCTTGGAAAGGACTCGACAGACAAAAATGCCAAATTTAGTTTCAACATCTGGCAGACTATACAACAAACTATAATAATAAAAATAATGAATGATAATGAATAGAACAAGTATATGATAATGAGAATATGAAATTAAAATAAAAATCATAATAAAAATTCTCTTTAAAGCAGTTATTTCCTTCCTTATGACCTTTCCTCAGTTTGCACCAAAAGACTGCATAACCCTAAGAGTCACCAAATGTAATCCAATGAACCATAAACACATATGGATTTTGAAAAATCTGTGTAAACTATTTCAAAATTCTGAGTCATAAGGTATCCCAAATAACCACATATCTACTGAAAAAATTGGCAGTTGCTGAAGTTACTGATCATTTGATGATAGCCATATGAAAGCATCTCTAAGCACTGTCAGGAGTGGTATTTTTTATGACCTCTGGACATCCAGCAATTGTTAATAGACTTCTGGACCATTTCCTGTAAATAACTTGCAGTGCACTGCCTGGGTATTATACAAAGAAAACATAATGTTTGGTAGTGGAATATATTTAATTGCATGAACAGCCGAATAACAACCTCTGCATCCCAAATGATCTGATGGGGCTGAATTCAGGTATTAGAATTATACAAAAAAGTAGCTAGCCTTGAAGGGAAACCTATCATCAGTTCTAATATAATGGACAAATGTTCAAGGGAACATTATTTGCTCTTCCATGACCAATATACATATTGCATGTTATATTACATTCATTTCAATTATTTCTTTGTGACTCTTTATTAAAGCCAGGCCTGAGACAGCATGAAGTATATATATTTTTTTCCTCAGAATAAAATCAAATTAAGTTGTGCTTCATTTACTTAACTTCCCAAAGGATCTAACCTACATGCTGTAATGTGTTTAAAAGCAAACAAGTCAATAGGGCTTATTATTGAGGCAGTCATACAGAAAAGATGCAAAAGAACTAATTTTCACAGGGTACCTTGTTGACCTCTCTTCTATCAATGAGCAGATCATATGCATCCCGGATGTAGCATTTAACACTCACCTGGCAGTCCTCCTACATAAGTCTTTAGAGATGACTGTAGGTAATTATCTAAAACAGACAGATAATCTTCCACTTGTGCCTGGCTTAGTTCGTTCTGTCCTGCAGTCCCATCCATAGTCAAAACTATCTGACTATTGCTGACGGAGATGTCCACCAAGTGCTCTTGTTTGTCACAAATGCTTACTGCCAGCCTGCAAACCACCGTGTTCTTCACTGCCAAGATAATAAACTGTACAGCAAGGAAATAAATAAAAAATTTGTTAATGAAATACTGATCTACTGTATTTCTGAAAAGTATTAAACACTGAAGATGTTATTATGACATATATATTGCAGTGGACAACCATTCTAAAGTATTCTATTCCCACCTCCCAAACATTTGAAAATATAGTTTTATAGTTAATCACAATGCATTTATTAATATGAAGCAGTATTTATGGAACTGTTTCATAATTTAAAATTTTCTCCTTGTATTACACGTACACATGCCTGAAGTATTTCAATACATATTTGTGTGTTCACCTGTTGCTTAAGCTTCTTTGTGGAATGATAGTCAATCAGAGCCACTGACAAAGGGACTATTGCTTTATTGCTAACAAGAGCAAAGAGCACTCCAGTATCTGTGGCTGGACGAATTAAAAGATTTACTTTTACTTCCCACTGCTTCCTGGTTTCATTGATATCAAATGGACGAGCTACAGAAAGAGAAACAGAGAGCTAAGTGCATACAGAGGGCTACTATTTTTAATACTTCAAATAATCAATCAGTAGGTTAGATTTCTCACTCATGGTAAGAACAAATGGTCATAATCACAACTTCTTCAGTCAACCTTTGTATATTGTTATCTTTTGTTATGTTATGTTGCTATGTTATATTATAATAATATTTCCATCCTTTTAACAGCTCTTTTGTTAATTTCATAAAATCACTGTGATTGCTTTGACTAGTTAAAGTCAAGATTATACTTTTTTAATCACCAAGACATCTGGATTGTAAGAACCTGGTCAATCTGCTGGGTCTTTAGGGTCCCTAATCATCCAATATCTTGAGCTGCAGGACTTAATTCTGGGTTTCTAATTAAAACAAAATAGAACAAAGAAATAAAGCTATTTTCAGTTCTATTTTACCCCAATGCAGTATTACAGATGTAATAGTATAAAAAGCTTGCTGGCTTTTTGTACTTCTATATCTTATTTTTGTCTATTTATATGAAATATATTTATTTACCATTTCTCAGAGCAAAGAATCCTGAAGGAATTTTAAAACCCAGTAAAACTAAGGCAGAGAAAGAAAAAAGATTCAAACCTGTTCATTTAAAGATAAATATTACACTAAATGATTGGGAAAGCCAATATAAAAATTTGATGCCTGATGTAGTGCATGCTGCTAAATTTAGGGTTGTTTTTTTTTTTTAAAAAAAAAGTTCTTTCAGCATCTCTTTACTTTCTATTTGAACATAATATTAAAATTAGAAACAATGGTGTTCTCAGAGAAGATCTGAATTGCACCTGTAATAGGTATGATATTATTCAGCTTTACAAGATGTCTATCAATCATTGGGAAGGCAAAAAACAATGAAGTCTGAATCCATTCAACATTATCAGATGTCATAAGGAAAATGAAAATTACATTTTAGGTCCTAGTGAATTTTCTCTCCAAAGTAATAGCTTATGCCATGCATTGTCTGCCAAGTTATATAGGCAGGAAAAGAGGCACATCACACCACAACAGCCAAAAGTAAGTCACCTTATATATACGATACGTGGCTTTACTTAAAAGCTATTAGATTATGCATTATACATATATTCAATATCCTTTTAAGAGTTTAGCTTTTTCAGAGTTATTTAAACATTATAATAGTGCTCTTATTTTTTTCTTCCTTCATCCATGCCTACAAGACACATTAATTTTCTAGTAAAACTTTACTTCATATAATAATTAAGAACAAGTACTTACCATAATTGAGATTAAATATAGCAAATCCTTTGCCAGGGTAGAAAGAACCTCTTCCTGCAATTGCAAAGCACTGCATCCTATCATTCGTTTGGATAGTAACGTCGTCCTTATTCTGCCAATTCCAAGCCCTCATACATCCATCTAGTCGAGGGTTAATCTAACAAAATAAAGGGAATTACCTTTCTTTGAACTGTTGATGATAATGGAATGGGGTTTAATCCCAAGTATTTTAATTTAGAAAACAATGCTTTTCAGTAACCCCAAATCTCTCTTTAATATATTGATTATATTTATACTCAATAAATATAATAAGAATATTATAAAACAACACAGGCTTAATCAACCATGATTTAACACCACTGCTGGGACATATAGTAGTGTTACATTACTTCAATGGCCTTTTTTGGTAAAAATAGATCATACAGACTTATGTAGGCTTATAGTTTAGCTGCATTGGGAATGCTGTGCTCAGTCCAACTAATCTAAAAAAGAGAACAACACTGGGAGAAAATGTTATAGCACTTCCCCTACAATCAGAAGATAAAACATGAGAGGTTTGAACTTCAGAATAGGTGGGGAAAAGGCATCTGTGAAATTTAATACATCTTATAGCATCACAAATGTAGGATGTGGATAGAAACTGACTGGCTATCATAAGCCAACCAAAACTGCTTCATGTAACAGGTAACATAAGGTATATTCTGCTTTAAGCCAAAAGGGAGGCATTTCTCTGTCACAGCTTCTCCTCTTCCATTTCTTTAAGTTAGAGAACAACATCTATGTCTGATCATCAACCAAGGTGGTCAGGTAAGAAGAGATGGCTGCAGTTGACTGCTCTTCCAAAGAAATAAAGGCAGTGGAAGGAAGGGAAGGGCAGGTGCTGTTTATGTGGTCTCTCCTGGCACCTTGTCACCTGCTGCTTTCATTGGTTCATAAGAAGCTGCAGTGTCACAAAACATGGAGAGAATAACCAGAACTATTTCTACAGGCTGTGAAAGTGTGAATCCATCTGAGTGAAGAGATTAGGTGTAGAACTGGTAGAACAGTTTGTTCGAAGAGTGATTAAAGGATTCATGAACAGGAAGGTAAGAAAATAGATTTTAATGCAGCATTATATCATTTCTTAGGTTAAGAATTGCACTTTTCCTCCCAATGATGCCATTTTAGTTTTATACACTTTCTCTCCATTTGAAGAACAATATGTATTTTTTCCATTGCTATGAGCCTGGTTTTGTAAAACCTCCTTCCATCTTTTGTAAAATCGGACATTGCTTTATGTTCTATATTTTAGAGAGGTTGGTTTGTGATTTTATTCAGTTTATTGCAAGGGTCTTCAAACTTGGCAAGTTTTAAGACTTGTGGACAAACACCCAGAATTCCTGAGCTAACATGACTGGAGGAGGAATTCTGGGAGTTGAAGTCCACAAGTCTTAAAGCTGTCAAGTTTGAAGACCTCTGGTTTATTGTTTTGATTGGATTTGTATAGACCATTCTGCATTGTTCCAGAGGGAGTACATATGGAAATGAAATGAGAATAAATAATTTTCAGTCAGAATTTTCTCAAGAAAATATTACACTGCACGATAAAATGTAAGGTTCCCTATAGTCAGCAAATTAGGTCACTGAACCTTTACAAAGTTTTCTGTGATAAAAGTTGAAAAACACGATCAGCAAGGAAGCATAAAGAAAAAAAACCTTAAAGAATGCAGAGGAGTAAATAGGCTTGCTCATAAGATATGTTGACCTACTGTCCTCCCTAAAGCTCCCAGATAAAAGTAGATAAGTGAACAATACAAACAAAGAAAAAAAATCAGAAGAGCAGAAAAGCCAATTTCTATAGCGTTGAGAGCAATTTTGCTTGCTTGCCATATCTCCTGAATATGTGTTCTACTGCACAAATTTACCATTGTGGTCAAAAGTGATCTGACATGAGGCTTTTAAAAAAAAATATTATATTTTTTTCCTCGTTGACAAATTATTTTATCTTACTTTATTATTATTATTATTACTTTATTGTATTATTTTATCTTACTTTGAATACAAGATGGCTCTATCCCCTTTTCCATCAGTTGTCTAGCTTTACCATAGATTATAAAATAGATATAATGTATTAAGATATAATCTATAATGCAATGAACAGTCTTACTTACAGAATGGATAAGATGATGGGTCTTGAAAGGAAGTCCTCCAACTGTTAGATTTAGAAGATAAAGTCCTCTGTCTTGAGTAAACAAATTGCCTGAGACAGCTATCCTCATAACTGCATCCTTATTGACTTTTATAACTAAACTTCTTTCCAATTCTTCAACTGATATCTGACAGGAAAAAAATCACAAAGGGATCAGGAGAGAAATATGAAAAAGCATATCATCTTCACATAAAAATATTATTCAATGAGCTATATTCAAGTCACATGGTGGCTATGAATTAGTCTTGTCTTTAGAAATACAATAGCTTTGATTTTCTCATTCAGTAGGACAACATTGCAACTTCAGAAGTGAAGCTAGGAACAAAGGGGCAAGCTGACTTATCTCAACAAAGCAGTTCCTATGAATCATTTCAAGTGAAATTCCACACATTAAAATTGAAAGTCTCATAATATTTTACATACATGTATTTGCTAACAATTACAAGACAAAACATATGATCAGTATGCATGTTCTCTCATGTTCCAATCATAAATAGAACTGGTGGGATTTAACATTTGACTATAAATTGACTATTTATTTACCAGATTTATCCCAAGCCACATCTTCCACCAAATAATTATCTGAAAACTAGGAGAATGGCTGATAAGAAGCTGTTGTACAGAAAATAATAAACAAAGGACTGCAGACAGAACGGTGCCTTTGTAGATTTTTAAAAGTTCTCCCTTCTTTCATCTTTTCCATGGGTGGATGGGAGGTTAAGACTGTGCGTATTTGAATTTCTCTGAGATAAATGTATAAAATATACGAGACAGAACGGTTCATACACACAGATGGAAATAAATTAACTTTGAAATATGTACAAGTAGCTCTTATTATCCACGATTTTGCATATATTGGTGAATTCCTTATCATCTGAAATTCCACAAACAGCTAGAGATCAAGAGGCTTTCGGTTTTTCCACCTCAGCTCTTTTGGATAACTTTTTAATTTTATCTACAAGAGAGTATATCTGAATGTCTATCAATCAAAGGAGTCTCCATTTTGCATGAATCTAATTTCAGTTTATCCACTCTCATCCAGCCCATTATCAGGCTCAAACACAGACAAGGGAATAAAATGTTCTATGTTAGATTACAATTAAAACCCACTCTAAATTGTACAGTGATATATGTCATCATAGGCAGTAGTCTTCCAAATCATTTTCTGAACATGTCCTGGCAAGAGCAAACACTATTACTATTAAATTCAATCCTAGCGGAAATTAAAAGCTTCCAGAGAATCCAAGAGAACTAGGTGGGTGCATTCCTGGATCCCCGACATAAGTCATCCATCAAGCCAAGAAAAGCAATCCCCGCCTCAAATTCCAGTTGCGTAATCAATATCTTCCAGATGTCTCTACAATTGCAAGACTACTCTTAATCATCTTAGTTGGAAATTAGTATTTCAAATCAACATACACTTTTCCCGCTCTTCCACATAGGAACAATTAAACTGGATTTTAACTCTTACAATTATTCATACGGTTTGACTTTGGTATGGTATCTTTGATAACAGTATCGTAGCTATTTATTTTATGTAGGAAAGCATATACACCCTCTTGCAAGTAAATTGATTGTTTGACTAAACTGATACTGGCTTTCCCCTTTCCACATGTTTAAAATCCACAAGCTAAAGGATTTATGACAGTATAATGGAATTGATACTTGGCAATGTTTACATCTCTCTACCCTGCCTCAGCATTTACCTGGAATTCTAAAGACGGCTGCACAGGCAAAAGTTAGCTAATGTCACAAAATTGCAAAAAAATAAAGTATTATGTATTTCAGCATCAAAAACTAACATTCTATTTTATTATATATAAAGAATTCTAATTTTTACTATGGGCAATGTGCAGGTCATTGTACTATTTATTTAAAAATATTTACACATCACTCCAAGTGATGCACAATTTAAAATCACAAATAAAATTGCCAACAGGATAAAAGTTCCAACCAGCTTATTTTTTTAAAAATCTAGCATAGTAATAAAAGCAGTCAAAAGTCCAGCAATACAGCATAAAGTTTACCGCCCAACTACAACCAATGAACCTTGTCTAGCAAAAGAGACGTAAAGGCATGAAAATGGCAGCCTGTACTATACCCACTGTCTGCCACATGCCATGGTTGATGATTGGGCCAGTGCTGGTCACCCGGCCGACTCCATTGTACTTGAGTTGCAGCTCCAACCGTCCATTGCGCAAAGCCAAAACTATCCAGGTTTTGTCGTGATGGCCTCCAGCAAAAAAAAGCAAACCTTCAGGATCAAAGGTTCTAAAATCAAATTCAGCTGTAAATCTGGACACACAAGAATAAGGAGGGGAAAAACGAGTTAAGGAGGGAATACAGTCTATTTTCCAGACACTTATACTTTCAAACTACCCCCATCTGATTAAAAAAAAACCCTACCAGCCACAGAATCATTGGGGGATGATAATACATCAGGCAAACCCCATGCATTGGGCATTTACATTCAAAGTCAGCAAGTACAAAAGCTCAGGATTGGGATTGGGATTACCAGGCACAAAATAACATGTCCACATGTGATGTTTGAATTAAACTGATTTATTGCTAAAAGCCTATGCTTCTTCTCAACTAAGGTCAGCACCTGCTCAGAATTAGATAACGGTTAACGGAAGCCCAGGGCGTTGGACTTAGCTCCATCTGTGGCCATGTAGTAATTCTAGGCTGATCCCTCTTTTCACCCCACCCTGGCTCTGCTATTCCTTCTCCTACAGCCATGAGGGTGAACCAGTAGCACGCAGAGCCACTTCTGCCGGCACGCGAGATGTCATCCGGAAGAGCCCCACTGCGCATGCGCACACCCACCAGCCAGCTGATTGTCAAGTATCTGCCACACATGTGCAGGGGGGAGACGTGCATGGGAGATGCACATACATGCGCAGAGGCATGCGGCATGGTCACACACACATGCACAAAGGTGCATGGTGCGCACACAGGGCAGCACATGCGCAGGGGGGCAGGGGAGTTGCATTGCATCATGGGTGCCGGCACACGAGTGAGCGCACGCGATCGCACTTTTGTCATGCAACGTGGAAAAGGTTAGCCATCACTGTCCTACAGTAAGGTATACTTGGTCGTTTTTTTCATCTCCATAGTTTATAGTACAGATAGTCCTCCACTTAAAACCATTTTGCAGTGACTTTTTGACATTGCAATGGCACTTATGATCATTTTCCTCACTTATGACCATTGCAACACTTCTATGGTCACATGATCAAAATTTGAATGCTTGGCAACTGGTTCATATTTAGGACAATTGCAATGTCCTGGGGTCCTATGTTCATCTTTTGTGGTCTTCTGACTACCAAACTCAATAGGGAAGCCAGATTCACTTAACAATCGTATTACTAATTAAAGTGATTCATTTAACAACTCTGGCAACAAAGGTTGTAAAATGGGAGAAAACCTCACTTAACAACAGTCTTTATCAGCCACAGAAATTTTGGGCTCAATGGTGGCTGTAAGTCAAGGCCTACTTTTCCTTAGATGTGGCATGCAGAGCCCTGTCAGCACACAAGCCGTCCCTCCAGCTCAGCTCCGCATGTGCGCACATGCCTGGCGTGGGGTGCATTGCATTTTGGGGATGCGCTCGCATGCTTTGGGCACTGAGTGCCAAAAAGGTTAGCCATCACTGTTCTACATCAGGGGTCTCCAACCTTGGCAACTTTAAGACTTGTGGGCTTCAACTCCCCTAACCCTAACCCAAACCCAGAATTCTGGGAGTTGAAGTGCACAAGTCTTAAAGTTGCCAAGGTTGGAGACCCCTGTTCTAGATGATCCCAAACTTAGAATCCACTGACTGCTAAGCTAGCATTTGAAGCAGTGGTGGGATTCAAATTTTTTTACTAGCAGTTCTGTGGGCGTGGCTTGGTGGGCGTGGCAGAGGAAGATACTGTAAAATCTCCAGTCAGAGGTGGTATTTGCTGGTTCTCTGAACTACTCAAAATTTCCGCTACTGGTTCTCCAGAATTGGTCAGAACCTGCTGAATACCACCTCTGATTTGAAGAAATAAGAAAACAAGAAACAAGAAAATGAACAACACACTTGTTGCATTCTCTTGGGAAAGTTGTTGGCCTGGAAGGCAAGATAGATAATTGAAAATGGAGATAAGAGTTTCCAACTTCTCCCGAGTCTGCAAGCAATTCTTCTGCGCCACTGTACTATTATTGCTGTGATAGTAGAGTTAATGTGTTAATAGTACAGTAATGTGTCAAGAACTATAACCATATGTGGACAAGCAAGCTGCCCTGTTGCTTCTGCCACCCAAATATTCATACCCCTGGCTCCCATTTCTTCAATGACTTTTTGCTGTAGGAAACCTTCAAAAAAGAAGCTTGCACAAATATTGCTGACCGTGCACTATAAGGTTTCCAATCATGTGGTAACCTACTCTTGTCCCCCCCCCCCCATAAGAACTGTACTCGGTGGATTTCAAGCCACTGATATAGGTAATGGTGTGTACAACATCAGACCAAGCCATATGCATTGTATTTTCCCCCCTTATCTGTCATGTGTGTTGCATACAGAAAGAGTTTGCAAAAAGGTCTTCTGGTATTTGTTAGTTTCATATAGTTAGATTCTGATATACACAAAGGAAAATATAAAAGAAGTACCTGGAACCTACAAAGGACAATGTTGATGTTCCAAGATGTATAATGTTTTATGCCATCAACTAGCAAAGTTAGTGCCCATACATAAGAGACAGAATCAGTATTTTAACCCTTCAATCCCTGCCTCAAAACAGAAAGCTCCTTATCTGGGAGAAGTTCAAAACATGCAGGAAGATCTAAGTGGGGAATACCTACTATGGCCCTTAAAGTCCCAAATCCCCAAATTTGAATCCCAGCTACTGTGGAGAGATCTCATACCACAAATGGACTGCAGCTCAAAGGCTACCCATCTTGGCATATATAAGAACTCCTGTAAGGACTCCAGTGACATAAAATAAGAGCACAATTTTAACTGTTATTCAAAACTTAACGTCACTAGGCAATTGGTACTAAGTAAGTCTTAGAATTCCAGTCCAGGATGACACACCTTTATGGCAAAGAAAGGTAAATCCATTGCCTTTAAGAGGGAAAATAGTTATTATTTAAATTGCTTTTAAAATTCTCACCTTGTGGGTTGTGTCCTCTTAAAGAATGCTTTGATGGCAGGTGTCACACTAAAAAATCTTCCAAGATAGAGGGATTTAATACTTTTTTCAGTAGCAAATGGTACACAAGGTAAAATATCCTGGAGGAGGGAGGGAGAATTTTTTATTTCAAAACACTCTGCTTAGATTGAGGTCAACAGTTACAAAGATGTGTGTGTGTGTGTGTATGTCTGTGTGTGTGTGTGTAAGAATTATATTTAGATCATTCAGTGATTTTGTACTGTCCTGGAAAGCAGATACAGTAAATCAGGGCACCCTTAGCTGTAGATTTCACAGCCCCGTTTTGCTATGTGATGTGTCCAAAACATCATATGAACACCCCTATCAAAGAGCCATCTTTTCTCTACTTAGATGTCACATGATCACACCACTTAGTGATGGCAATTCTGGTTGCCATTGTTAAGCGAAATCATTATGCATTATTAAGCAAGAATGTCCTTGGTCATTTGCAAACCCCTGCCTGCTGCCCCATTAATTCTCTTGTGGCACCTCGGGAAAAAAGTCACAAATGGCAACCACAAAGTTACTACAGTGACCAGAAGTAAGTATTACTCATTCAGCACTATTGCAAGTTTGAATAGTTGCTAAATGAGTGGTTGTAAACCAAGGACTACCTATTTTGTTCAGTCATATAACATATCTTTCTGATGTAAAAGACCATAAAGTAAGCCCATTTAATGGATCTCTGGTGAAAAAGGCTGAATAGTGTCAGGCAGAAAACTTTGGAGCGAAAGACCCAGAGAGCTATTGTTAATCAGAAGACACTAGTCTAGTGTAATGGGCAAGAAACAAATCTGATGACTGAGAGCAACTTTGTGTAGGTAATCCTGGACTTACAACCACAATTGAAATTGGAATCTCAGCCATTGAACAGAGATTCAAATGAGACACCTTGTGATCGTTTCACTCAGTGATTGCAATCCCAGTTCTCCCAGTTGCCATTGTTAAGTGATTGTGTGGGTCATTAAATTGCCTTTTTCTGCAGCTGTAGGTGCAACCAGTTGATATGAAGGTGCAGCCTTTTTTGAAACCACCTTGCACCACCCAGTAAGTGGGACCCATTCTCGCGCTTGTTGGAAAACTACTTCTCCAAACTGCTCAATTTGAAGAAGGGATTTTCCAAACAAATGTGACAGCATTCACATTCGAAGATTCAAATCTTTCTAGCTTTCAGAATACAGGTGTTCACTAGCTTTCTAGCCCTAGTGAATCTTCAGGATTTGAGATGTGTTCCTAAAGCCTCCCTACATAATCATGGGACACTCACAATCAACCATAAATATGAGATGGTTGCCAATGTAATCATGTGACGGGGAGGAGGGGAACAGCGTTTTACAACATCTAGAAGGGCTTTATAGGCTATAAAGCATCCTTTTCAAGGCTGTGGTATTTTTGAACAGCATTTAAACAACCTTTTGTAAGTCAAAGACAACCTGTAAGTTATCTGAAATTTCGTTTGGTTAGAAAATAGGCAACACATGCTGTATGAATGGAACCAAGAACCAAAGTTTTAAGTGTGCATCTTCCCTATTCATGATAGGCAACACTCTCTCTTTTGCCTTATAATTTGTATTATTATATAAACATAGTGTTTTGAAATGTTCTTCTCTAGCCTGAGGTGAAGGGAATGAGTTAAACTGTTCACTTTGTATACTGCTATCTCATAAATGTGAGGCTCCATTTGTGTATTTCTGCCTGCAGAACGGAAGTATTAAAACATTACCTCACAAGTATTCATATCCCTGGAGAGTTTAACTCCACCTTTTCCATTGCAGTGGCAAGTATAGCTTCCTTGTGAATTAACACATGTTTGCTCACAGAAGTTCTGTTCACATTCATCCACATCTATACAACACCAATAAAAAGAAAAGCAGAAAATGAAGTTGTTGAGTTTGCCTTAAATGTATTTTCAAAACAATCGTAGCAACCTTGAAGAAAACTACAACATGTTGTTCTTTCTACAGAACTTAGTTTGGCATTGCATTCCATTTCTGGAAGGGTTCTCTCAATGTGGGGCATCCAAAAGCAAATGAAAAAAAAAATAGTGATTTGCAGAAAATTTGAGTATAAATCTGGATTGAATTTTTTGTCATCAGATGATTTTTTTAAATAAATGGGATGACAATATATTTAAAGGAGAATATCTGTAATTTAGGATTGAATTGAGGGGTCCCATTTGGTCCTCTATGAGCTTTGTTGTTTTCTAGCAGACATTTTATTACCCAAACTAGGTAACATCATCAACGCTAGACAACACATTTATTGTGCCTTTTAAAAATTATTCTTCTAAAAACATTCACCATAATGCTTCAGTCTTCATTCAAAACAGGGGTGTCAAACTCACACTGTCATGTCGTCACATGACTTATTGCAACGTTTTTCCCCTTTGCTAAACCGGGAGTGGGGGTGGCCAGTGTGTGATGCATCCACCCTGTGGGCCAAGAGTTTGACTCCCCTGATTCAAAGCATCAAATTTGATTCAATAGATCTGCTTATTTTTCAACACCCGCTTGCCATCTAGAGGTATATAGAAAATTAACAGCAAAGTGGGAAGGCAACACCATACATCAAAGATAAGAATTCTCATGATGATATTTAATTCTACCTACTACTAACCTTTGCAGGTCTTTGTGACCTCATCGTAAGTGTAACCAGTATCACAAACACATGTGTAAGACTTTACTAAATTTTTACATCGAGCTTCTCCACAGATCCCTGCTGTTGCAGCACATTCATCAATATCTGGAAAAGAGCAAAAAAAAAGGTAAAGGTAATCAACAATAATAGTTAGACTATCAACAATGTTTCACAGGCCTAACTCATTCTCTTTCTATTGTTATAACTACATAATGGAATTAGGAAATGACTTCAGCCTCCCCAGAAACAAAAGGCTGGTATTCTGCAAAATATACAGCACTTCTGGGTAAATGCTGTAAAGTTATTAAAAATGAGAACTCTGGGGATGGGAACACAGGAGGAGGAGAATCACAGGAAAAAGTGTGATAGCAATGTTAGAAGAGGGTCAGGGTTTTGAGACAAAAAAGATCACAGGATAGGAAATTACCAGCTGTTTGGCTGGGAAAAGCTTCTGTTTTGTACATAATTCCCTTAATGGAACAGGCTGTATAGATCATGTTTACATGCACATTTGAATTTGTTTCTGCATTATGAAAATGAGGCGTCTAATGTAATGAATGGAGATACACAATCAAATCTTGCAGTGTAGATAGTAGCATGTAGCACCACCCATTTTTCAGCAACTAGTCTGTACATAGCAAATTTCATGCAGAATAGTATAGCTGCATCCATACATACCCACCACGCCATTCTCTTTTAGGTTAAGCAATGTTATGCACAGCATAGAAAAGGAGTAAACCAAAAGAAATTAAAGGCATCAGAAAAGAAAAAGAGAAGAAATATAATCGACACTAGTTTATACCAACATCATTCCATATTCTCTTTGCTTCTGACAGATTTGTCCTCTGCTTCACGTGCTGCCTTTGTTTTCTTAAACTATGTTCTGAGGATGTCATCAACGTTATCTTACAGTGACTTTCTCAGCCTTCACTTTCCTTTTGACCCATTCGTTCACTCTGCCTTCATCTATTGGTTGAGGAATTCTGATTTTCATTCATTTTCACTCTATGACAAACTACATACTCAATACAGGTGGTCCTCGACTTACAACTATTCCTTTAGTGATCGTTCAAAGTTACGATAGCATTGAAAAAAGTGACTTATGACCAGTTTTCACATGTATGACTCTTGCCTAAATGTGACCCCCATGATCATGTGATTAAAATTCAGGTGCTTGAAGGTTTTATGACAGTTGCACTGTCACAGGTTCATATGATCATTATTTGTAACCTTCCTGGTGGGCTTTCAACAAGAAAAGTCAGTGGGGCAAGTCAAATTTGCTTAACAACTGCAGGACTTACTTAATAACTGCACTTATTTGCTTAACAACGATGGCAAAAAAGTTGTAAGGTGGGGCAAAACTCAGTCAACAACTGCCTTGCTTAGCAATGAAAATTTTGGGCTCAACAGTGGTCATAAGTCAAAGACTACCTATGCCTCTTTTTACTTCTTTTTATACTCATCATTCAGTTTTACATTCAGCTCATATTCCTTTACAATTTTTCATCCTTCATCCTATTTTTCTTGCTTTACCACACATTGAGCCATGGTGGCTAGGATGCTGCATTTCAGGCTAATTCGACCCTGATCAGCTCAAGATTGACTCACACTTCCATCCTTCCAAGATTGGTAAAATGAGGAGCCAGACTTCAGAATTAATAAAAGGTAATTTGAGGAATGGGGATACAACCATAGGAAATTGTCTGCAAATTTTATGCATGATTCCAGTAAAGGACTTGGCTACTTTTGTGAGCTACAGCCAGATACTAGTATGTTAATGTCCCACAAGTTGTGAGGAACATTTTCTAAACTATTTTCAAAGTGTTGCACAACCATAATGCCTAACTCTTTCTCTACTCATACTGTTTGCCCATTTTAATCTCCTTTGTCAGCTGCTTTTCCACAAATGTGTTATAAAATACATTTATACCTCCCTCCCCATCTAGGCATTTTCCAGCTGTATTGGAATTGCAGTTATGCTAGCTGACATCATGAGAAATTGCTATTTGTTTTATTTTTAAAATGTTGGCATGCTGCATCTCATTGTAAAGCAAAACTAAAATAGATGTAAATAATCTGTATCTTCCAGGAATGCCTATAGTTGAGTTATTACTTTTTCAATAACCCAGTGTTTCTCAATCTTGGCAACTTTAAAATGTACAGATTTCAACATTATTGAGAGCTAATTTGAACTAGTTATAAAGGAACCAGGCTACAAAGCAGGAGGCTGGGAATTCTAGTTCTTAGACATGAGAACCAGCTAGTGACCTTGAGCCAGTCACTCTCTCACCCAATCCACCTCACAAGGTGGTTGTTGTGGGGAAAATAGGAGGAGAAATATGTATTGAGTATGTTCATCACTTTGAGTTGTTTGTAAAAATAATAAAGGTGGGATAAAAATAAATACAATTACTGGCTAAGGAATTCTGGGAGTTGAAGTCCACTCATCTTAAAGCTCCCAGGTTGAGAAACATTGCAATAAATTGTCTCACAGGGGGATATTTATCACTAGGTGACACTAATGAAGATTACATGGAACCAAAGGTAGATACCACCTGTAAGGTTGCAATCCTTCCTAGAACTATCCAGCCAAGTCTGCTTAACTTGCTGATTAAATAGTCCTTATGAGGTATGATCAAAAGGAAATGTGAAACAAAAAAAAAGTCACAAAGTGTCTTGCAAATACTTCAAGCTCCAAAATCTGGAATGATGCCCCAAAACAAAATGGTGCCTCAAGCACATGTCTCAGCCTTTGCAGAATGTGGTTTCTCAGCAACAGCTTCAGTTAAGAAGTGTTTACTGCTACTGTACAGCTCTTTTCTTCCTTTAACCTTCTCTCACTTCCCTCCACAATCTCTGTCCAGGCAACATTATTGTCATTTTATTCTTTAGCGACTTCCAGTGTGCAGAACATTAACATTCTGTTCAACAGGCTGAAGTACTATAATTTAAATTACAGAAAAATATAACCATTGTTATTGGCCACTTGTCATCAGAACATTTCTGAGATGAGTAAAGTCTCTAGAGATTTTTTTTTTCTCAGGTGACTGCACACTTCTTGTATACTCTAGGTCATTCTCTAATACAATGCAATTAATAAAACTAAGAAAGGCTATATTCTACTTTGCCAAATATTGCTTTTTAGCTCCAGAAGGAGCCAGTTGGCTGGAGCATTTTGGCATAATATGCCAATCCTTTGTGAATCACTCTTTTGCTATGGGGTTGGATCGTTCTGTGGTATGACTGCAGACATGCTTAGGCATGCATTCCTGGCTGTTCCTATTGAAATCTTAAACCGCAGTTGTGAGAAAGACAGAAGCAATAGCAACTGCTCTGTTTAGCCTTCAGAATTATTTATGCTAATAAAGATAGCAAGTAGCTCAGGGTTAATGTGGTTTATAAGTTTTATTTGGATTAGAATAATTTATTGCTGGCTCATAAATTCACTTAGAACATATCCACAATAAACATTTTAGTCCTCAAGATACCATTTGTTTCTTTCATCAAGAAAGAATGATGGATATAATAATGGAACAATGGATTCTCAGCAGAGGTATGTAGCTTTCACTCACAGAATTTGTGCAGTAACCTTCTCATAAAGTGTTATCAAGAGATCCAGCAATCATGACTTGCCACAGTGTTTGAACTGGCAAACTAGGGGTTGGCAGCAACACCAAAAAGGAGAAAGAGGAAGCAGGAAAAAAGAACTGAAATAGATCAAATTAGATTCAAAACAAAATGCCAAAGGTGGATTTCATATTCTTCTTCTCTATTTCATAGCTTACCTTCGCATGATTTATTGTCACTCATAAGAGCATAACCAATGTAACATGAGCAGTGATAGCTGCCTGGCTTGTTATAACAGATCTGTTTACATCCGCCATTGTGATCTGCACATTCATTAATATCTAGAAATGGAAAAAGATTGTTTCAGTTTCCAAACAAACTCCAGCAGAAGACAAGACATTCATCTCTTCATATGTGTCATTTCATTAAATTCCACATGTTGTATATGCAAGATTTTATCATCTCTGGTTTAATTTTCAAGTCACTTTATAATGTGTAAATTTATTTATTTATGCAGTTATTCACAAGCGTCTTCCTATACTGCATTAAGTTTTTAGGCTGAAGGAAGCAAAAAGCTATGCAGAATCTCTTTCAATAAAGCCTTTGGTTATTCTATTTTAATGGGCTCATTGATCTATTTGCTAATTATTTCCTCTCTTGTCATGAGGAGTAAGATTTCCTAGAATAACTGTTAATCTCCATCTGGAGATTCCAAAGATTGAAACATTAATGTAAAAAAAAATCTGTATTTTGTAAACAAACTATATTTTTCTTCATTTAAAAGTCAGAATTATATTAGTAGTCCTCAACTTACAAGTTTGTTTAGTGACCATTCAAAGTTATAACGACATTGAAAAAAGTGGCTTATGACTGTTTTGCCACTGATGATTGTTGCAGTATAGTCATGTGATCAAAATTTAGATGCTTGGCAACTGACTCACATTTATGATGGTTGCAATGTCCCAGGTTCATGTGATCATCTTTTGCGACCTTCTGACATGCAAAATCAATGGGGAAGCCACATTCACTTAACTGTGTTACTAACTTAACAACTGCAGTGATTCACTTAGCAACTATGATAACAAAGGTCATAAAATGGGGCAAAACTCACTTAACTCGCTTAGTGACATAAATGTTGGGTTCAATTGTGGTTGTAAGTTGAGAACTACACACGCCAACAGCTCAGACCTAGGCTTACCTTTATCACATGTCTCGCCTCCCCAGCCGCTCTTACAGTGGCAAAGGTATCCACCTTTCAGATCTTCACATTTTATAGTACCACCTCTGTAACACGGGTTAGGAGAACATTGGTCTGGTAAGTCTAGGGCAGAAAACAAACCTTGTAAAATGTTTATCCTTGACTCATATTACTCAGAACAATGAGATTGGTATTACCCTTCAAACTAATCCTGAGAAGCCATTATTCTCTTGTATAAGGAGGAATAACATTTGTAGAATTGCATCATTGTATAATGTTATTTTCTAGGCCATAGGCCCAATTACAGAAAAGGTATAAACTCACCAAAGTAAATGAAGTTTTGCTCCCGAGAGCATTGTGGGTTTTTTTAAAAAAAGAATGGAAAATATTTCTCAATTTACCTTCCTCATTGTAACTTTGAAATCAGCTTTCTGAGAAACTGTTCCCTGTTTGCTTCTTTTCCTCTCCCCCCCCCCCCCCCAAAAAAGTCCTAAGACTGCAATTGTTAATTTTAGGCGAGAGAAAAGCACCATCATCACACTTGCAGTTACTATCTTACTAGAACACCCTGAAACTATGATACATATTGTTTGTATAGGGGTTCAATACGAACTCTATACATACATATACATGCCAATTAAATGTTACATTCAATAAACAAAAGAGAATGTGACCTAACACAGGACACTCCGTGACCCTTTTTGCACTAAGTGTGTATGTTTCACAGAGGTGCAAATTAGCCCACTTAATATGAATACACTTACATACATATATCAAAAAATGCAGCAATTCCCAAGTGCCTACCACCCTTTTCTCCCTCATGACTGCATGTACAGCATGCACAAACATATATTAAAACAGGTAAATGCACAAAATATATACACCATGAATCTTTCTTAAACAAACTAGCTAATTATTACATATCCTATATACCAAACAATAAAACTGTAAGGAATTTTATATTTTTTTAGCTTTTAAAATGATCAACTGTTTATATTCCACCCTCCCTATGCTGATCTATGACCATAATAAAGATTGGGCTGATAGGCATGGTAGACAGAAAGACAATGCTGAGGTAAAAATGCTTAGGAATTTTTTTTTATCAATAATGATCCCTGGAAATGTCTTCTTCAGAGCTGAAGAAGCTTCTTGGATGAGAAGAAAAACATCTTCAAGGAAAAAACAAAGTCCAGTTGCCTTTTGGAAAGAAGCACTTTTGGGATGCCTGAAAATGCATTCATGATTTTCTCTGTTCTAAATGCCACACTAAGTATTTTTATTCAATTGTTCAAATAAATTATTCTAATAATGACAAGGATGTCATACCTGTAGCCATGAATTTGGTTGTGCTATTTGGGAACCTACTGACTCCTTACTGCATGTCACCAGGTACACAAGTAACATGTACACTAAGAAGAAAAGATCCTATATACAACTATTCACATTCTAATGTTTTCTGTATTTTTCTAATGGGAAGGAAAGCCATAATCTAGAACACAAGAATAATATTGCTGACAGTCTCCCAAGTAGACCTGACAGGAAACACAACAAAATCAGCTAATTCTACTTTATTGTCGATCTATATTAACAGAATCTTGCATGTCTAAATGTACACACCTCCCACTGCTTGATATGTTAGGGTGAATCCTTTCTAAGTTTCTTTCTTTGACCATTATTTAGCTGCATGACCTCCCTTGCCCAATCTGATTGTTCTTAGGTAGCATCTATTCCCCTTGTTTCCTAATGTCTTTCTCACATACCATTATGTCTGCACACATAGAGATATCCCAACATTTTTTTACTTCTACATGGTGATTGATGGATAATAAGGTCAACAAATTGAACATTAGATTGGCTATTTAGACTTCTTTTTCAAAATTTCCTTTTGTTCTCAACTATCATAAGGCTACCTCAAAGAAGATTGTTTATACTCCCCAAGTCCGATCAGAGTTGGAGTCCTTATTCTTTTATCAAAGCAAAACATTCTGATGTTGAGCAAGGCAAAATTCATAATTAAGAATGCTATGTAAGTACCCTATGCCAAGATCAGACATACCTACAATATTTTTATCTTGAAACCCAGAAATAGTACTGCTTGATAAGGTCAATATAAATGCTAAGTACTAATAAAAGCTAACACAAAGGCAACGTAAGCAATATATTCTCCTTCCTCTGTTTCTGAAGTAAGCAAGCTCATGAAAAAGAAGCTGGCAAAAACTGAATGGAAGAACATCTAATATTGTGAAGGTGAATGACAAATAAATAAACCATTCCTGTGACCCCATTATACATTACACTCACCAAGAAAATACCATTTAAAAACCCTGCCTGAAAATTATTACTTAGCAGGTAGAATTTTATTTCTGTAGTTGCTGAGGTTTTTGTTTGTGGACAGAAAACAATAGATCGATGGTGGACTTGCCTTATATTGATAACTTGGCAAGTTCACACTGTTCTTGCAAAAAAGCCATGTTTCTCAACCGTAACAATTTAGGAATTGTAATACTAGCTGGGGAATTCTAAGAATTGAAGCCCACATATTTTTAAATTGCTAAGTCTGAAAAACACTATATGAGAGGAAAGTAAATAAGTTAACGTTTCAGATACATTTTTCCTTCAAATGTAACTGTTATTATCATACTCAGTATGAGAACAGGTCTGATGGGGCTCTCAATTTTTTTTGATGCATTTGATATTTTTGCTCTGCAGGGGGAAAAAGAATGATGCTCCCTGATAACTATAGTGTTATATTATGCAGTACATTTCCACTCTGCATATTGTTGCTTAGTGTTCATGTTTCAAACAGGAGATGAAGTCATTAAACACAACAGTTTTATAGTAACAGCTATTATTTGCTTTCTCTTTAAGTGAATTATGTACCCAAGTATCCATATTAAAAAAAAACAGACTGGTCATGGAACAATTACATTAGAGACTATCCCAAATTACTACATTAATTGTATTGCAGCCTAAAGACGCAAAAGTACATTAAAGAAAAAAAAAACCTAATCTCTAGTGCCAATTCTATCTAAGAAAAAAACCTAGTACTTACTTGAACCAGACTATACAGGCAGATAGGATACATTTTCTACATGGTAAATAAGCAGTTCTCATCTTTATGTTATTATAAAATCCAAGTCAGACTTTCAGTGTTTCTCTTTTCATAATCTAAATATTAAAGATGCATTTTGCTATTTTTTTCATTTAGATTCAAAAGGATCCAGGAAATTACAACATTGCCATGGGCAAGCTGTTGTGTTTGGAGCTCTGTAAGTAAGACACATACTTCTGTAACAGATTGAGATAGCAGCTTGCCTAAGGCAACTGAGCATGGCTTTAATTCTGTTCTTTTCTGTTCTATTCTAATCCACCTTTCAATAATATAGCCTTGCCAAGACGGTTTTCAAAGGAAACTCTTTGCAGGGTATTGTTAAGATTACCAAAACATGTGAAGCAATTGAACATTCAGGAAAAGCAAGACACTCAGTATAGATATTGTATATTTCATTTTATAACTTTTAGGTATGCTTTGTCTTTCAAGTATCTTTTTGGTTCTGTTTTTCAGTCTCATATAAGCAAAAGTTTCAAATAATATTTCTGCCTGCAAAATTTTGTAAAGAGCCAGAAAAGTGGAAACTTAAAGGACTGGTAGAGAAACATCATGCACAGTCACCTTACTTTTTCTCTAGTATGCTGAGACTATGCATCAGAAACATTTGATACTGTTTATTCTTCCCACTGAAATAATTACCATAACAAGCAAACCAGTATCAAGTTCATTATACTATGCTCTTGAATATTACATTCAATGTCCTCCATGAACAAAAATACTAGAAAACCCTGGCAACTATTCACATATTAAAACACACAACTTCCTGATCATTCTATTGAAAATCAGGCTCTCCCATGCTTAATTACGTAATGCTTCTACAGCGCTTTCTAACTTCTTCAATTACAGGGAAATATATTCCTTGTAATTGCACATGCCCTCAAATATGAAGATTTGTTTCTCGGTAATCAGCTTTGGGATCATGGGACAATTAAGAATGGATTCACATGACCATATAATTGTTTAGCATGAGTTGGGGATGGGTGGGGGTGGGGGGTCATTACAATATTTGTATAACCTTAAATTAAATCCAGTATAGTCTGTAATGCACTTGGGATATTGAACCCATTTCCCCTCAAACTGGAGTTCCACACATTGATTCAACCACATTCTTTCAGCCTAACTACCTCACAAGATCATTATAAGAATTGCATATTCCACCTGGCCTCCATATGCCAATAACAGAAGTGTTGCATAGCGCTGCAGATTTAAATGCAAATGGGGGACTTCAGAATGCACATACCGTATTTATCGGCGTATAACACGCACAGGCGTATAACACGCATCTTCATTTTAAGAGGGAAATTTCAGGAAAAAAATTTAAATTTCTAAATAAAAACTTTGAAGCAAAATAAGGGTAGCTCAGAACTTTTTTTTTATTAATATTATTACCACTTATAAGGTAAATAATGCAAAATAATGCCCTCTGCTCGCACCGCCCGGCCTCCGCTCGCACCGCCCGGCCTCCGCTCGCA